ACCCTGATCTCGTCGTGTCTCAATGCCTTACGATGCAGTCTGCGGGATACAAACTTAAACACCAACCCTGCCACCCCTACCACCCCAGCTGTTATCTCGATGCTTAGCACTATATGTGCGGCCACGATGATGGCTAACAACCCAACACCTGCCGCCCCTAGTCCCATGCTGGTTGCCATAAGGGCAGTATCAGTCCCGTCCACGATATTGAAAGCTCTATGGTACTTCTTATATAGTGCTTTCCGCCTGTCGCGGTCTTGTTCTAGTGAGCGTTTTACATCACATAACTGCCTCAAGCGGAACCCGTCTACGGTTTCCAGGGTCTTAGCGACTTCTTCTACGACTGGGTACAGACCCATTCTGTGTACATATAATATATCTTATGAGATACTTTCTAATTGTGTGCTATTTAATTTTTGCGTAGTGTATTTGAGGCTTATAAGGTCTAGAAAACCGCTCATGTATATATGTGAGAAGCTAATAACCGGCCATGTTTCCACACGAACCCCACAAGGGGTTACTAAGATGCTTACAGAACCCGTTAAGGGAGCCAACTGTATGACGATACGGCAACGTTGGTCATTGTATATGGGGTCCCAACCTATTAGCACCCCGTCTAAAAAGGTTGTCATTATCCCAGCAGTATCTAGCCCGAGATAGGCTTCTATGGCGAGTGTGGAGCCTGGTTTCATAATCATAAAACCCGATTGGAAACTGGGTACGTCAAAGTCAAACAAGCCAGACTCACTTACCATGTTACCCATGTTACCCGGTATTAGCTGGAAACCTATATTATTCCCCGTAATGAAAGCCCAGAGCAAGATACTGTTGTTCTTAATTTCGGAGATAAACCCATCTTTGTTAATCGAGATATAAGGTGTGGTGATGGTCATGTTGATCAACCATTCGGGTTCTTTATAGTCTGCTAGGGACACCCGCCTATACACGTTATCTTTTAAGCGTAGGGTGTACAAGGTGTCTTCCTCGCCAGGCTGATCGAATCCCTCTATGCCTCCTAGACCCCCTAGTGTGATTTTGGGTAGATGATCGGCCATTGCCGCCCGCCTATAGATGTTGTCTTTCAAGTATAGGATGTACGAGGTGCCGTCCACGCAAGGCTGATCGAATCCCTCCGTGTCTCCTAGACCCCCGAGTGTGATTTTGGGTATATCCATCATTGCCACCCGCCTATACACGTTGTCTTTCAAGTGTAGGACGTACGAGGTGTCTTCCTCGCCGGGCTGATCGAATCCCTCCGTGTCCCCTAGATCGTTAAGTGTGGCGTTGGGTCGATGCCGATTGGACATTGCTATAATACTATTACGAGATAGTTTCCAATTGTTTGTCTGATAATTTCTCAGGGGCGCACTTCGACCCCATGAAGTGTATGTTGTTCTTGGTTAGTGATATTGTGTCTTCCACGGTCACGATGACCCCCTGCAGACTGGTGTGGGAGTCGGCACCCACCCGAACGTAAACAGTGCAAACCTGATACTGGTGCCGTTTCGCCCACCAGAGTTTGACCCCCTTCACGATATCGACTTCATCCTGCGATGGTTCCCCTAGGTAGACTTTGATGACCAGAGTTGAGTTCGCCGGTAGACTCTCCAGGATGTTGACCACGCCTTCAAATTCAGACACCAGCTGCAATGTCACGTTTTGCACTCCCAGTTTACTCGATAGTATGTGGGCTGCCATACTGGCGGCTGGGCTGATGACTATGCTACGTCTCTGAGCCGGGACGGAAACCACGAGCAGGGTTCTGTTGTTCACGACTTTGTTTAGGTAGTTGTCTTTGTTCTCCGTGAACACGTAGGGGGAGCCGAGCCTAATATTGAGAAACCAGTCGACTTTAGCTGGTAACAACACCCACTTGTCATCGTCGGTGAAGACGAGGATATATGGCTTGTTTCGGGCGTCGGTAGTGCTCTCAATATGTTCTGTGTCAAACAGTTTGCACCCGAACGATGGGTATACCATCCATTTATCATCACCGGTGCTGACTATATCACCTAGGGTTCCACCGGAGGGGACTTCAACGCGTTTGTAAATGTTGTTTTTCAGTTGCAAGGCGTACAATTTACCATCTACTCCAGGGTCATCGAATCCGCGTGTGTCCCCGAGGTCGGATATCCCCACATTGATGCAGTTTTTCAACTTCATTCCGGGCCCTCGTGCGCTAGTCATTTTATGTGTTAACTGGTCTGTCAGATGGTGATCGTGTATGTGGCTGGTCTGTTGGGATGGTGATGGTGTATGTGGCTGGTCTGTGGGGATGGTGATGGTGTATGTGGCTGGTCTGTTGGGATGGTGATTGTGTATGTGGCTGGTCTGTTGGGATGGTGATGATGTATGTGGCTGGTCAGTTGGGATGATGATGGTGTATGTGCTCTGTTGAGATGGTGTATGTGGCTGGTCTGTTGGGATTGTGATGGTGTATTTGGCTGGCCTGTTGGGATTGTGATGATGTATGTGGCTGGTCGCTTGTGAATAATATTTGCAGGAAAGTTATGTGTATTTTGATTTGAATACATGTTAGTTGTCATATTAAGTATGGCAAAAAAGAGTTACAAGCTCGGTGTAAATTCGTACCGGTCAGATACTGAGAGAGGAAAGCATATTTTCCTTCGAAATACTCTGTCAGGCAAGTCAAAATAGTGTCCCTAGTATGGTGATCGACCTTCAGATGTTGGTGATCTATAGCCTGTTTTTCATCTTGTATTGTCCTAATAGTGCTATTAGTTTAAACCTTCCACACTAGTTTTAAGTCTAATTGTGATATTCTAGTTGTTTTACTCCCCTTCGATGACAGGTTTTATAGTATACACATATTCCATTTCAAAGTTAATCGTCCGGTCAGTATTATCAAATATTGGTCTACGATTTTGAGAAGTAAACCAGATAGATATATAGTTTACACAATTCAGTATTGAATAGTTTAAATGAGAACACGTCTCCGTGTCTGTTATGATTGAAAACGGAACATGGAGCGTGCCTAAAATCCTATTTGCTGATAGATTATGTCCATTTTGTACTAACGAAAAAGAAGATGAGTATCACGTACTCTTGATTTGTATTTGAGAAATAGGCCAACAATATTTGAAAATATAAGAATGTTTAACTTTATACAATTGTAATAATTTGAAGTAATTACAACTGTAGAGTGTATTTATTATATCTTAAACGAAAGAAACCAAGGTGAATTTTGTGATATTTTTTGTTGTTGTGATATTGGGCAACAATATTCTAATTATTGTCTATATGTGTACCTCACATTGTGCACAGGCAGATATTCCACTGAGCTTAATTGCATTGGGATTTTACCGAATAAAATATTGTTATTTAATATTTTTAAGAATTTGCATCTATTATGCATCCAAACCCATCTCGTCACCATATAGCTGAAATATTGCGGATGTGACGTTAAATTTTAACTAACTCACATATTTACTGTGTTCACGTTGTTGTTTTTTACTTCAGAAACATTATGTTGTCTGATAAGTATCATTTAGGGCGAAATTATAACATTTTTTTTTGCATTTTATGCCCTGTAATCACATACAAGCTTCTTTTAAATTTGACTTGATATGACCCTGGTGCTATGCATCCGACTATGTTGCGCTTACGAATCATCCTAAACTCATTCAATTTTAATCATTCTTGGGCAGATAAGGTATTGTTCAAGTACACTGCCCAGAAGAGAAAACTTTGACATTTAAGATATATTATTTTAAAAAATAACACTGACTTTGCTGAAATTTTCAAACCCACCGCCATTTTGGTTTTTCACACATGCCCAAAGCTGGAATAAGTTCAACCCAACTGCTACATCCTTGTATTATACTATCTTCCAGCAGCTCTAGTAATAAATGTCAGAAGGAGTTGTATTTTATTTTCCGGATACGTTACAAATTTGCATGTGAGTGGAGGTTAATGGGATAAATCATCGGTGAGGGATTTGCTGACCTGCAATTTTGTTCCATGTATTTGATATGAACTTTTTCCATGAATACACTGTCATTGTGAAATCGTTCTTCAAAATCTGATAATGACAAGTTCCTTCCATCAAATCTATGAATACGCAATGCCGTTTAGAAAGTGGTCAAATGTAACATTTGCTATAATTGGGATTACACTTTCTCAGTAAAGTTCACACCCTAGTACTTTTGTTGGGTTGAGTCCCATCCGGGATTCAAACCCACATCCTCAGAGTCAGGCACCCAATGGACAGAATACAAAGTCAGCCGCCTAACCCACTCAGCCACAGGGTGATGTTTTGTGAACTTTTGTGGATTGTGAATCACCAACTACCCTATGAAATAAAATGTCCCCACCCCTACCAGCGGAGTTGCTGTTTTGAAGAGCTGGCCACATATGTATGGATTCGAAATGCGGGAATTCCACCCTTCATCTAATATGAAACATATTTGTGATAAATTTTGTAAACACGCCCTTAATATTCTAAGGAATAAATGAAATGTTGGACGGAGTTGGACGATATTCATGAAAAGGTGATCATTGTTGTAAAAATATTCAATATCGGATCCGGTGTAATGTTTAGGATATCAGAGTAATCTAGCTGATAAGGGAATGAAAAGTTGGGCATTAAATGTCAAGAACTTACTTTATAGTCATGGACACTGGCAAACTGTGGGGATTTGTGTTATAATTAAGACAAAGATGCGCTGATATTGATAATCAGTCGTGGACTCCTGCACTTGAACTTGAATTTGACATTTATCGAAATGTTGAAGTTAATGTTTCCTTCGAAATATATTTGAATATTGCTGAGTGCGGCGTAAAACTAAACTCACTCACTCACTATCCAGAGGAAGCTCAGTACATTTTCTGTATTCTGTATTCCGAGTAATCTACGTTCATACATTGCCTTCCCAGACCAGACAAAGATTGTCCAGCCCTACATACTTTCTCCCTGTTATTAGTAATCCTGGGACCTTTTTATTATTGGAGCAACGTAGACAGTGTAGCAGATCAATGACCTGGCCTGTTGAGCTGGTGATGGCTGGCTGTCCTGTTGGGATGGTGATGGTGTATGTGGCTGGTCTGTTGAGCTGGTGATGGTTGGCTGTCCTGTTGGGATGGTGATGGTGTATGTGGCTGGTCTGTTGAGCTGGTGATGGTTGGCTGTCCTGTTAGGATGGTGATGGTGTATGTGGATGGTCTGTTGGGATGGTGATGGCTGGATGTCCTGTTGGGATGGTGATGGTGTATGTGGCTGGCCTGTTTAGCTGGTGATGGTTGGCTGTCCTGTTGGGATGGTGATGGTGTATGTGGCTGGTCTGTTGAGCTGGTGATGGTTGGCTGGCCTGTTGAGCTGGTGATGGTTCGCTGTCCTGTTGGCATGGTGATGGTGTATGTGGCTGGTCTGTTGGGATGGTGATGGCTGGCTGTCCTGTTTTGGATGGTGATGGCTGGCTGTCCTGATGGGATGGTGATGGTGTATGTGGCTATGCTGTTGGGATGGTGATGGCTGGCTGTCCTGTTGGGATGGCGATGGTGTATGTGGCTGGTCTGTTGGGATGGTGATGGTGTATGTGGCTGGTCTGTTGGGATAGTGATGGGTATATGGCTGGCCTGTTGAGATGGTGATGGTGTATGTGGCTGGTCTGTTGGGATAGTGATGGGTATATGGCTGGCCTGTTGGGATGGTGATGGTGTATGTGGCTGGTCTGTTGGGATAGTGATGGGTATATGGCTGGCCTGTTGAGATGGTGATGGTGTATGTGGCTGGTCTGTTGGGATAGTGATGGCTGGCTGTCCTGTTGGGATGGTGATTGGTGTATGTGTCTGGTCGGAAGGTGATAGGGTATGTGGCTGGTCTGTTGGGATGGCGTGTGTGGCTGGCCCGTTGGGATATTGATGCGTATGTGACCTACTTGTTGGCAAGGTGATGGAGTATGTGGCTGGCCAGTTGGGATTGTGATCGATATGTGGCTGGCCTGTTTGGATGGAGAAGGGGTTTGTGGCTTGTCTGTTGGATGGTGATTGGTGTATGTGGCTGGTCTTTTGAGATGGTAATGGTGTATGTGGCTGGTCTGTCTGGATGGTGATGGTAGTTGTGTCTGGTCTGTTGGGATGGTGATGGTGTGTGTGTCTGGTCTGTTGGGATGGTGATGGTGTGTGTGTCTGGTCTGTTGGAATGGTGATGGTGTGTGTGGCTGGTCTGTTGGGATGGTGATGGTGTGTGTGGCTGGTCTGTTGGGATGGTAATGGTGGTTGTGGCTGGTGTGTTGGGATGATGATGGTGTGTGTGGCTGGGCTGTTGGAATGGTGATGGTGGTTGTGGCTGGCCTGTTTCGATGGTAATGGAGGTTGTGGCTGGCCTGTTGGGATGGTGATGGTGAGTGAGTGAGTGAGTGAGTGAGTGAGTGAGTGAGTGAGTGAGTTAACATTTTACATCACTTCGGCAATATTACAGCCATATAGCGATGTAAACAAGGTAATCAATTTCAATAGCTGTGGAGAAAGGACCGTAAAATAACTAGAATATCACAGACATAAATGTAAAACTATTAATTAAATCTAAAACATTTTAACTATAGAGGACAGTACAATATATAAATTGGCTATAGATCGCCAACAACTGAGGGAAGATCACCATACTAGGGACCATGGGTTATGGTGATGGTGTATGTCACTGGTGTGTTTGGATGGTGATGGTGTATGTGGCGGGTCTGTTGGATGGAGATTGGTGTATGTGGCTGGTCTGTTGGATGGTGATTGGTGTATGTGGCTGGTCTGTTGGGTTGGTGATTGCTGTATGCGACTGGTCTGTAGGAATATTGATTGGTGTATGTGGCTGGCCTGTTGCGATGGTGATGGTGTATATGGCTGGTCTGGTGAGTGGTGAAGTGGTATGTGGCTGGTCTGTTTGAAATGGTGATTGTATATATAGCTGGTCTGTTGGGATGGTGATGGTGTATGTTGCTGGTCTGTTGCGATGATGATGATGTATGTGACCGGTCTGTTGGGATGGCGATTGATGTATGTGACTGGTCTGTTGGGATGGTGATGATGTATGTGGCTGGTTTGTTGGATGGTGAATGGTGTATGTGGCTGGTCTGTTGGATGGTGATTTCTGTATGTGACTGGTCTGTTGGGAATGGGATTGTTGTATGTGACTGGTCTGTTAAAATACTGATTGGTGTATGTGACTGGTCCATTGGGATGATGATGGTGTATGTGTCTGGTCTGTTGGATTGTGATTGGTGTATGTGACTGGTCTGTTGAAATATTGATTGGTGTATTTGACTGGTCCATTTGGATGGTGATGGTGTATGTGGCTGGCCTGTTGCGATGGTGATGGTGTATGTGTGGCTGGACTGGTGGGATGGTGATGGGGTATGTGGCTGATCTGTTTGGGATGGTGATTGGGTATATATCTGGTCTGTTGGGATGGTGACGGTGTATGTGAATGGTATGTTGGGATGGTCATGGTGTTCCACGACTGGTCTGTTTGGATGGTAATGGTGTATGCGGTTGCCCTGATGCGATGGTGATGGTTAATGTGGCTGGGCTGGAGGGATGGTGATGTGTTATGTGGGTTGACTGTTAGCATGGTGATGTGTGTGGCGGGTCCGTTACGATGGTGATGGTGTATGTTGCTGGACTGTTGGGTTGGTGATGTGGTATGTGCGCGAAAACAGATTGTTGATCCCTAATTGACTGTTGGGATGGTGTATGTGGCTGGCCTGTTGCGATGGCGATGTGGTATTTGGCTGGTCTGCTTGCATGGTGATGTGGTATGTGGCTGGTCTGTTGGATGGCGATTGACGTATGTGGCTGGCCTGTTGGGATGGTGATGGTGTATGTGGCTGGCCTGTTGGGATGGTGATGGTTTAAGTGGTTGGCCTGTTGCGATGGTGATGGTGTATTGGCTGGGCTGGTGGGATGGTGATGTAGTATGTGACTGGTCGAGGAAGAGCGTTCCTTTGCGCAATGCACCACTTCCACCCTTACTTCACCTAGACGGTTTAGAATTGTCCCATCCATCCCACATGTCGAATTCTAACTTAAAGGTTCATCACAATGATGATGTGGTGCTGCAACATGTATGTTGTATTGTATGATGTTATCTACGTTATGTTGCTAGGTTCAACAATCTGTTTTCGCGTTCGTTATATTAATTATTCCCCAGTCACTATCTTCACGCGGATGTATGGTGGTCTCCCGACAAAACTGATCCATTTGAACATTCATTCAATGTTGATGCACTAAATCTCTACTTTAACGGTGTTTGTGTCAAAACAGTTAGTAATCATAAACAGTTGGGATCAACATTTTCAAAAGATTGTAAATGGTCTGACCATATTGATAATATTGTAAAAATAACTTCAAAAATGATATCCTCTCTTCGTAAACTCAATTTTTTATTACCGCGCTCTGTGTTGAATAGAATTTACGTAATCATAAGACCCTATTTTGAATATGCGTGTGAAGTATGGGATGGATGTGCTCAATATCAAGCAAATAAATTAGAACATCTGCGATTAGAAGCAGCAAGAACTGTAACAGGTTTACCTAAATATACTCATCATGAACATCTGTATTATGAAACTGGTTGGGAATCTTTAGCAATACGTAGGAGAAAGCGTAAACTTCGCCTTTTTTACAAAACTCAGAATAATATGGCACCATCGTACCTTATTGATCTTGTTCCTGGGGACGTAGCATCTAAATGTAGCTATAATCTTCGCAACTCTGATGATGTCTCACTTCCTTTCTCACAATTAAAATGTGGAATGAACTTCCAGTTGAAGTGAGAAATAGCGAGTCATTGAATTCTTTTATATCGAGTATTGTTATAAAACATCAAAATGCTCCTCAATACTTTGATTGTGGACCGAGAATCACTCACATCATCCTGATAAAACTACGTTACATGTGTAGTCAGTTGAATTATGATCTATTCCGTGCTGGTTTAAAAGATAAGCCAAGTTGTTCTTGTGGAAATGTTTGTGAAAATTTTTATCATTACCTATTTGACTGTCAATTATATACAGTACAGTACTACCATGATGACTAATTTACGCAGTATTACTAATGTGGATATAACCTATGAGTTACTTTACATGGCAATGCAGATCTGACTGTTCACATAAATCAAAACATATTTAAAATTATTCAAACATATATTTGTCATTCAAAACGATTTTCTTAATTGTTGCAATTGTTCCTCTTTTTCCCATATTTCTGTTCTGTTCTTCTCTGTCCATCTTGTAGAATGGATGTAAATAATACTATGTAAATACTACGGAGAGGGTGTTCTAAGTTGTATAACTTGTACCCAATCCTTTTCTCATGAATAAAATATGTTTAAAACAAAACAATTCATTCAGCCATGAGGTAATCTGATACCAGTCGTTTAGCTGCCTCCAGTAGTCCTCTACCCAGTGTGTGGAGGCTGCAGTCTGCTGTGAACACTTCACGATGTTGCTGCTGTGTTCAAATAACGGTCTGCAGGCTGCTTTAACATCAGCTGTTTATTTCATGGTTGTACTTTCCGCATGCAGCACAGAGGAATGTGGACTTCAGTTGACAGAGAAGATGAAGAGCAGATCTGTCGTACTCAGAAATGTTAACATGAAGTTGTGCCAAGCTGAATGTATTGAAGATTCCTTCATATTTACATCATGTCGTCAGTCAAGTCAGGAAACCAAGAAGATTGAGAAGACGAGCAGATCGAGTGTCCACAGACAGAATCAACTAAAAGTAAGTTATGCTTATGTCGTGTAAATGAGCTTTGATGTGCGCCACTCTCTCTCTGTGTGTGTGCGTGTGAGTGTGCGTGTGTGTGTGTGTAACATGAACTTTCTTCAGGAGGTAATTTATCACGTTGACTATTTATTGAGTAATTCTTTCATGGTAATTGATTTTGTAATGGTCTGAGAAACACTATGTCGAAAATGGAAAATATGTACACATGTTGAGGTACGGCCCATGGCACGCCTGGTGTAAAAAGTTATTATGCAAGCATATTTTTCAGGCTACCTGATTGGTCTAGAGGTGGACACGTGACCGTCGACAGAAATGCATATTGACTCAAACCCAGGGCCAACCAAAAGTCATGACCTTAGTTACTATGACGTCATTCACGTCAAGCTATGACGTCATTCTATTCTTTACATGTCACAATATTGTTGACATAACGTTATTGGTTTTTATAGCTAAAATACATGGAATTATCATGAAACGGCCCTCCCATTATCAGAAATTTGCGGGCCGCTGCAAATGATATTGGACCGCTCAACCCTTAACGACGGGCCGCTATCAGTTCTGTTGTCAAGTGACGTCATAGCGGGTGCGTCGGTTCATTCGACATTCGCTTTGGACTTGCAGATATTCTGAGGCGAAAAAGTCAAAGCAACCCGAATTCCCACTTTAAATAGCCGTAATATTGGCTTTCTTGCTGGTGCTAACC